GCCTCGCACCGAGGACCTATCCACGTCATCATTTACCCAGAATGCTTTGCTTAAAAATAAAATGGCCTCATCCATGGACTATATTTTTAAACTTTTGGTTTAAAAATTATAAAAGCTGAACAGCCTACAGTATTTTTACAGTTAAAATATATGTTTATCAAATAAAGTCTAATGTTACAACTAATCTGGGATCACTTTAAACTCCTCTGTTGTGTTTTCATGTGGACAGCCCAAACACAAAGCTTAGAAAACTGTATCTTACTCCCATTTCCTGCCTAAACTATGACCCAGCAACAAGGTATACAATATGTTTGTTTGGCAGATGCAATTTTCTCTAACACAGCAAATGCTTTGAGTACTGTTACAGTACAGTTTGTATCACTTTAATGAGCAAATAAACAAGAAAATTTACATTGGATAAAGAAAAAAAAACCTCTACAGTCTAAAATGTTTTAGCACTTTATTTTTGTTTACAATAGTTAAAATTGCAGAAAAAGACAAAACATCAAGTACAGATTTGAAAATTTGGGAATTGGGAATAGTTTTAAGAGACTGTCACTTATGTATAAATGTTACTCTTCCCTCCATCTCTTGCTGGATACTTGGCCTGAAATAATTTATGTCCCCAGATCTGGAGGAACATGACACCCAGTCTGCAAGAGTTCCATCTCCTCATCATTCTACAAAAATGATTTGGTTACAATCTGTCTTTWGGGTGAAATGCGCTTTATAAATATACTTTAGTTACTTACTTTCATATTATCTTATTTACTCACCTACTTAGAGTTCGAAACAGCTACTTCACATTGTCTTTTCTATTTCTGGTGTATTTTTGTGGCAGTATTACAGTGCCACATACAGGCCTGGCATAGTCACTGAAGGATTTGGATTGTTTTCAGTTTTTCCATGTGGATGAAAACATTTCTAGAAACGATGCAGTTTTTACAGAAGATTGTTTTTGAAAGACAACTGAGTTCTCTGCATTTCTGAATGAAAGATTTTAGATTATTTCAATGATAGTGCATATTTAAAAAGATGACCATTAAAGTCATAATTATTTTTTTGCAGTGTTAAACTCTTGGTTCAAGAGTCTTTTGTTAAACAGAAAATACAAGAATGACAAAGCAGTTTTTTGCCCAGCTGTGTGATTTTTTTTCAAATAACAGATGTCATGTGGAATTGTTACAAGGTGACTTTGATAAAATGGTTTTGTGTCAGAAAATGAGGATAAAAACAAAAGCATAAAGGACAAATCTGTTCATTTAGAGGATGGATAGGACAAAGAAAGCCAAGTTGAGTTTGAGTAATGGTGTGAATTTGGATTAAAGAACAAGAGAAAATGGATAACGAGAAAAGGGTTGGGGGATAATAGCTGGGGAAAAGAAAATAAGTGGAAGGTAAGTGAAATGAAGGAAAATAGCTTTGCTGGCTGATGGCCCCTTCGGTCTTTGATAGGGCCCAGATTTTTCTGGTGTCAGAGGGAGAGGACAGTGGAAATGGCTGCTTGGGATAATTGATCTGGCCCCTGGCGTCAGTTTTAGCCCTTTGAACTGCTGAGGAAGGAAGAATTTTTTGTGGGTTAATCATCAGGGGCAGTTTGCAAAAAAAAAAACACATTGAGCTAACATTTTTCTTGAAGTCCAGGTCCAATAAAATCAGTGGGACCACGCTTCTTTTGGCATCTCTTTATAACGTTCATCTAAAATCTCACTATTTTCATTAATATTTTATTTAATCTCTTCAGATGGATTGAACTATTGCACTAAAGGCCTTGCAACCAACAGAAAGAATAAACTGCAGATAAATATCAAACTTATTCTCAGCTGCAGTGTGGGAGAGTTTTTGGTGAAAAATGAAGTACTCATTCTGAGAGGAATGTTCCAGAGTTGGGAGAACACACAGAAACATTTAATAACCAACTGATATTTGGATTCCTGGTTGACTGGCAGGCTCTGTTTTTCTTCCATCTGTCTTCAGTTGGATCAGACTGTTTAGTCACTCAGATCTTAATTAATGAATGCTGGTCAGTTTTACCCCAGTGTTTCCCCTAC